ATAAAGAAGGGGGAAGAGGGAGGGGAGGGACAGGGAAGGGGGATGAATAAAGAAGGGGGAAGAGGGAGGGGAGGGACAGGGAAGGGGGATGAATAAAGAAGGGGGAAGAGGGAGGGGAGGGACAGGGAAGGGGGATGAATAAAGAAGGGGGAAGAGGGAGGGGAGGGACAGGGAAGGGGGATGAATAAAGAAGGGGGAAGAGGGAGGGGAGGGACAGGGAAGGGGGATGACAAAGGAAGGGGGTGAGAAAAGGAAGGGAGAGGGAATAGGAAGGGGGAGGGAAAAGGGAGGGGGGAGGGAAAAGGGAGGGGGGAGGGAAAAGCGAGGGGGGAGGGAAAAGGGAAGGGGCTCGTCGACGTCGTCGGTTGACGTGTGGCTGTCCTCGTCGTCCATTGACGTGTCGTCGTCGTCGTCCGTCGTCGTCGTCTGTTGACGTGTCGTCGTCATCATCCGCTGACGTGTCGTGTCGTCCGTTGACGTGTCGCCGTCGTCGTCCGTCATCGTCGTCTGTCGATGTGTCGTTGTCCGTTGATGCGTGGCCATCGTTGTTGTCGGTCGTTGTCGTTGTCGGCTGACGTGTTGTGTTGTCTGTTGATGTGTTGCCGTTGTCGTCCGTCGACGCGTGGCCGTCATCGTCGTCGCTGACGTGTTGCCGTCCATTGTCATCGTCGTCGTCGTCCGCTGACGTGACGTGTCGTCTGTTGGTGTGTTGTCGTCGTCCGTTGGAGTGGTGGCGTGGTGACGTGGGGATGGGTGTCGTTGATGATGATGGTGGTGGGTGAGGAAGAGGGTGAGTGTGGATGATGCCAAATCAAATGTCGGCAAATGCCGAAGCTCAATTTGGGCATCGGCATATTAATGTTTATTAATATTATTGATTAGTAATGTAAATTCCAGTCATTACATTCCGGTGTCATTCCTTTTTGTCCATTCCGGGGACCATTCCGGCTACTAATCAGGAATGACATCATTCCCGAGGAATATTTGTCCCCCGGAATGTCATTTTGGCTGGTGTCTCTGCCAAATTTGATTCCTCTGGATTCCGCCGGATTCCACAGGAATGACCAGAATCCGGCAGGAATCAGTGGGGCATGATAAAGACCTCTTACTGCATATGTGCAGGTCGTCTTACCCGTACTGCAGGTGAAGCAGGATCCTTGTTGTGGGGGGGAATGGATAGCGCATGGAACAATGTCTCGATCTTGGCGTTTGCTGCAGGCCTCACAGGGGATATCCGCAAGCTGATAATTGCCTTTCGCAATCGCGGCATTCTGATTTGCAAGACGTTCGGCAGTTTTGGCTTGCCTTAAAGCGGCCATGGCGGTCTTGGGAGGACCGGCGTCGGGGTCTAACTTGGGCCTTCGGATGAGACTGAAGCCGGCACTGGGTGTCATGCGGGAGAAATGGGGCTGGGACTTGGGTTTAACCGCCTTTGCTTCCCCACCAACTGGTCGAAGTGACTCCGACTTCGGCTTCAATGTTTCCTCATCACTGCTGCTGTTGATGAACTCCGCGCTCACGACTCTGGTCTTCTTTGGCCTGGCTTCGATCGAGTCCCCTTTTCTTTTTTTGCTTTGGACTGGGGCAGCGGTGTCGTTAGGAGTCACCTCTGATTGTGGCTGGGTGCTGGACCCGGCCTCGGGTTTCCTTCGCCCAGACTTTGTCTTACTCTTGGACTTCGTTTCAGCCGCTGGCACAGGATTGGTTGATTTTGCCTGACGCGTTGGTTTTGTTGGGGCCGGGAGCAATGATGAAGCTGTCGGTACCGGCAATGGGGGAGTTGGGACTGTGACTGGGAGCAATGAATCGGTCGAAGATGGAGGTAAAGGGGGAGAGGGACCAGCATAACCTTCCATAAAGAAGGTAGGGGTGGTGGGTTGTGGGATCGAGAACATTTTGGTCCAATCAACCGATGGTCCCGCTCGGGCCATTTCCGTGTATGCCAAAATCCAAGGGTGGTTGAGCCACTGGGCCGCGTTATACCACATATTCTTGTCGATGAGCAAACATACAAATCATTCCTGTAGGAGAAAGAGATCCAATTTCAGTCAACAAATCATTGTTAGTCACTCACAGCTTTCCTGTATGCATCCTCTTCCACCGTCCGTTGGTGGGCCAGAAGACCTTCCCTGTGACGGTTGTAAAAGTTCAAAAGCGTGGAGGTGGCCACCCTAACATCCTCCAAGAACCCGGGAGTGAGGGTATGGGCCTGTTGAGCGGCTTGAGCAAGTTCAGCAGTGGAGATGGTAAGTGGGAATGGGACGATCGAGAGTGGTGAATGTGCGCGTTGGAATGGGACAATGGTGAATGTGAAATTACGAAGTTGTAAACGCGGTCACGTGGTGGCGTTACTTCAACCGAGATCCGTACGATGTTCAACCGAGATCCGCAGAATGTTCCATGGCCGATCTGCAGTGGCTTGCTTTCCCACCGTTGAAAAACAATGCGTCTTCATCACCAACCACACAGTGCAATCCCAGGAAAAGCTATCTACTCTCTGACTGATATGTCTTTAACAAATCCAGGTATTGTCCCTACTCCACACCAAGGATTGTCTACTTAATGTAGATAAACAGAAGCTGTGATGAAAGACCAAGAAATGAAGGATGGTAAGTTTTATGTACTCTTGTCGGCTGAGCAGTTCTAACCATATCTTAGGAACGGCCGAGGCTCTACCCCCTCTTCAACCAAGTGGTGAGTTCCAGTCGGTGACAGAAAACTAGCCAAACCTAAATTCTGGGTGGCTGATAGGACAGAGCCAAGAATCCGAACTAGTGATGGAAGTGGACGTCCCATCCTCGGCTCCTCACAGATCCATTTTTGATTTCAAAGAACCTACCCCTGCTCTAAGTTCCAACCCATTCACCCCAGCCTCGGCTCACCAATCCATTTTCGAGTTTAAGAAAGTCGGTACTTCAGCTTTTGCCCCGACCTCGGCTCATCAAGCATCAATGTTCGATTTTCAGCACGTGGGCACTTCAACGAATGTGCCGCCTGTTTCCCTGTCCTCGGCTCATCAGCCATCGATTTTCGATTTCCAGAAGCCTGGCAGATCTCCACCAGCCTCGGCTCGTCAGGCATCGATTTTTGATTTTCAGCAAGTGGGCACTTCAACGAATATACCACCTGTTCCCCCATCCTCGGCTTGTCAGCCATCCATTTTCGATTTCCAAAAGCCTGACATCCCTGCACCAGCCTCGGCTCGTCAGGCATCAATTTTTGATTTTCAGCAAGTGGACACTTCAACGAATGTGCCGCCTGTTCCCCCGTCCTCGGCTCGTCAGCCATCCATTTTCGATTTCCAAAAGCCTAACAACCCTGCACCAGCCTCGGCTAATAAAGGATCCCCTTTCGATTTTCAAGTCCATCGTTCATTTACCCCGGCCTCAGCTGTTCAGCCTTCCATTGATTTTCAAACACCTGGCACGTCTGCTCCAGCTCCTGCCTCTGACAAACCAGGCATGTCTTCCCCTGGCGCCTCAAGGTCCAATAGTACTCTGGGATCACGGAAGTATCTGACGAAATCACAAGAGGCCAAATTACGACTCCAGGGCCAAGGAGGAGCTGCCATTCTGCCAACTCGGCCAGGCGATGCCTTCGTTTTCGGCCCGGCTCCTGTCTTCATCTACACTCAAGAGAGGACAACACCACGCCCACCACCTTCGACCGAATTGTTGGACTTGGATCCAAACTCCCCACGTGCAAGGGGTTTATGTCGCAAGTACAATATCAAGGTTGTGTCTGATGACAGCATTGGTGATCGCACGGGCGTGGTAGCCGAGGTCGTTCAGGCAATTGGCAAAGTGTGGGAAAGAGCTATGGACCCCAAGGCTTCATCCGACCCTTCAATTAGGAATTTGCAGGCCACCTTTGATAAATTGTTGACGAGGGGAGATGAGTTTACTGAGATGGATCGTATGGACCTGGTTCGTCATAGCGAAATTCACCAGGAGGCGCTCAGATCCCTGCCTGACAGCATAGCGACAACGAGCCATTATCGGTATGTTTTGGCCACCTTGAGGAGGGAGAAAGACCGGTTGCGTGAACAAATCGATTCAGACCGTGATCTGGTTGCAGCAATGGACGCTACTTTAGAAGGACTACGGCCATTCATCCCAGACGAGATCCCAGACAAGGGGAAGGGGAGGGACAAAAGGGATGGACCAGGGTTTAAGTAGAAGATTAGATCACAAGACCGAGGTTGGTTCGCTATGTAGTTTGCACCCGGGCACGGTTGAAGATACCCGCTGCCGGATAGTGCTCACATTTAATTGGTCGTAAGACAAGCCTCCCGGCTCAATTAGTCAAACGAACACCTTTTCAACCCTTGCCTTTCATGATAGGAAAACATGATGAACTACGAAAAGTGACACTGCTGAAACCGGACACAGACTAACATCATTGAACATGCTATGTATTTCGCACCCAGGCATGAATGACTAACATCATTAAACATGATAGGTTTAACTGACGAATGAAACTTTCTTGGACCAGGTGGAACGAACACTTTCTTCAGCAATCTTTTTCGACCGTTCTCGGGTTACTATACCGAGTTCCCCTGTAGAAACCTTGCCTTTCATGATAGGACGAGGTTTTGGTTTTGGCTTGGTGGGGACATCAATAGATGGTTGCTGACTGGGACCGGCCTCTGACTCCTTTTGTTTTGAAGGGACTGGTTGTTTTGCGTTGACACCACTTGACTTAGTGAAATCAAAGCTATTCGAAGCTTTGGTTGTGTCCGACCTCAGATTGGTTGCTTGAGCTGGTTTGACAGTGGCTTGGATAACAGCCGAGGCAGCTTGGCATTTGACTTTGCCTGGTCGGGCACTCCTCGGGCCAAGTTTGTAACCCTTCTCTAACCGAGGAAACTTGCAGGGTGTATCCTCCTCATCAGTGAATTTTCTCTTCTTCACTCGATTGGCCGACTCCACCCCACAGCCCAGGTCAGCTTCCCAAAATGTATCATCAGCCAAGACCTCAGTGTCCGATGGTACTTCATGGGAGAGAGCCCGGGTGTCGTTGTACCGAGGCTGAAGCTCGGGGCTGGTATCTACAGTGATCATAGCATCGTCTGAGCCCAAATCTGATCCCGAGTCTCTATCCTCTTCCAAGGTCAGGTTGACCCTGCTAGGTTTCACTGTGGGCTCGGTCAGAGTATCCTGCTTTGGCCTCTCTTGACCATTATCGGAGTCTGAGTCACTATCATCGGAGCCATCCTCACGATGTTCGTCATGCTGTTTGGTTGGTTTCTTGGTTGGTTTCTCCATGTCCAAGTCTTCTCCATCGTCATCGGAGCCATCCCGATCAGGAGTCCAGTCATCCTTAGAAAACTGTTCGGTTCATTTCTTGGCTGGCTTGTCCACATCCAAATCCTTCCAACTGTTGTCATCGAACTGCCGATCTTCCACCCCTTCCTTTCTCTTTGGCCTGGCTTCCTCATCTGATGGTGACTCGGTTGCTGCCCGGCCTCTCCTTTGACCCTTGCTTCTGCTGGGCTTCTTGCCCTTCCCAACACTATGAACATGAGGTTTAGGAACGTGAACTTTGATTTTCCTGCGTGGAGGTGCTTCCAGCAGCATTTTCCCCTCAAGAAAGGATTTAAATCGAAAGGCGACTTTGTGTTGTTCTTGACGTTCATACCAAAACTGGAGAGCTTCAGTGACCATCTCCATCGGGAATTTGGAGGGATCAAGAAACTTGTAAAAGTTGTTACCTTCTCCATTTACTGATCTCCAAGCCGGGGGTATATATTCTAGATCAATGAAGTCAAGTAACTTTGATCCAATAGCCGTCCAAGGAGCCGATCCCTTACTCTGCCCAGCTGCAAGATCTAAGTAGACAAATGTTTAGTGATACAGGGCAAGAAATCTCTGGGGACCGGCTTACTATAGTGCTGGTTGACAAATGTACGAAGAACATTCAGCCGCCAAATTCGAATATCATGGGAAGTTTTAAGTGGTGGTTTCGATGGATCGGGTAGAATAGGTTCCAGGTATAGGTTCTTCTCCAAAGTCATAGCACCCCGGGATCGGTGTCCTCCTTCGGCCGAAGCAAGATCCTCCAACCCATAGTATTCTTCATTGTGTGCTCTCCAAGAAGATACCGATATTCCTTCCTCATGGAAAGTCCGGCTATGGTTATCAATAAAGTCTTTCCCATTCCCGAGTTCTTGATTGAAGTTGTACGTCGAGACATCCAAATTACCATCGGGCTTCAGATAACATCCTAAGATAAAGACCCGGACACCCATTGTGTCATAAAGTTCCTTGGAAAATGCATGCATCCGAGCCGTGCAGTTCTTTACAGCCAGTCTACCAAAGGTCCAGATAAGCCAACATTAGAATAATGAAAATTAACTTACTTGGACTTGAGTTCCGGGTCAACTCCCTTCTTGTTGTACTCCTCGGCCGTCCTCTGCAGTACGTCTTTCTCCCTTTTCTTCAGTTTTCCCATCATTTGAGTCACGACCCGCTCCCGAAAATCAAAATGAGTGGGATCTCCCCCTTTAGGCCTCTTTTGTCCCTCTTCAATGGCTTCGGCACAAAGCCTTTTCGCTTCGGTATCGATGGCGTCCTTGTTCTCATGCTGGAACACACGCCGGGTGTGCCACGACTTTCCCATCCTCGGCATTTTCTGACTTCTCTTACGACTGTACCGGGCAAACCACTCTTTAATATCCTACAAGTCCGTCAGGAATCAATTAGAGGGCCCCTGGAAAAAGTACTTACTTTTTTAACAGCTGATCTTTCTTCCTTCTTGAACGATTTTCCATTGGGGAGTATGTCGAGCATGTCTTGCAAAACTTGAGAAAATATCTCAGCACGAGCAGCGTCGTTGGCGTCTCTGTACTCCTCCTGATGTTTTTCCAATAGAGCACTTTCTTCATCGGTCCAATGCCTCCCGGACCCATGGTGCTTGGTTTGACTGGAAAGTGGGGCAGATGGTTCAGGGGATTGAGAATGAGTACTAATAATGATATAATTAATGGTATTTGGGAGCAAAGAGGTAGATGGAAAATGGTAGTCGGGAGCAGAGGGAGAACAACTCATGCCAAATACAATGAACAAACAATCACCCCTGATTCGGGAAAGGGAATTACTTTATATATCATCTATCAAAAATATACATAACTGATCGGCACGGAAGATCAAACACGAAACGGAAAAGAACAGACCTTAATAACCTTAAATAGCTTAAATAGCGGAACAGTTATGATCACATCACAAGACAAAACCTTAATTAGCTTCCTCTGTAATTATGTCTGTCTGTAATTATTGTCGGTCCATCTAAGTAACTAAACTGGTAACACAGTTATGGTGGTATATATTGAAGCTACCTTTATACCAATGTATGATGAGGCTGTCAGCGACATACAGATCTTGATATTTTGCAGTCATATTGAAGGTGATAAAAATTAAAAGTTCACAAGAAGCCGCTGTTAAAGAGTATGCGAAGTGTATGAAATATGAGATTGTGTTTCTAATTGACTATTATCTAGTCCTGCTGGCCGGCTTTTATGGCTTGGGTGTGTGCTCATCCCAGTCTTACTGCCAACTTTTTATTTTACGTAGCTGGAAATGCAAATCTGTTATGAATGTTTGCGTTTGCTATTCGATGGCCACATTTTCCTCTTTCCCGCTACGCCCACATTTTCCTCGTTCCCACTACACATCATTATATCCTTTGGCCATTTCAACAGTAGACAAACATGGGAAGAAAAGCACACAGCAACATCGCTAGTCCTCACTTCAACAGGCTTGTTATAAAAAATGGAAGGAGGTCTTTTCCCTCCTCCACTATTCCCTCTCTGCCATTTTCCCCCATGAAAAAACGTAACTGCAGCCATCTGGAAAGAGACATTGAAAGGGAACACCAAGATTTGCCATACGTTGAATATGCTCCTCCTCTCGAGGATCATCAACCTTACAGAAATGTGAAATTCCTCTTCCAATATATTCATATACTGAACGCTAATACACTATCAGTCATCCAATGATTACATGAGGGTTTGGAAAGAGACTAAGCGTAATCTATACCTCCACGAATTTTTGGATAGGAAAGTGTCAAAGCGGGTTTGTATCTCTTGCAAGAAGGAGGCAAATTGGCAATGTCTCGATTGCTTTGCCGGCACGGCATATTGTGCAGAATGTTGCCGAACATTGTAACGGATGTGATTACAGAACACTTCTTCATCCCTTCATACTATTATTTCCGATTCTACGCTAACTAGCAGAGCTCTGCCCTCGTGGTCACTTAGTCACGGTAGTCACACTTGCTTACAATTCTTCCAGTCACGCATGTAGTATCTCATCTTTTTATCCATCATTCTTGCTACTGCTTGTAGTTCTCGAGTATCGTCCTCACGACTCGATCACACGCGTAACAGGGATATTGTAAGAAGGTGAGTAGCATAGTGACATTCAGAGGAGAGCTCGTGACTCTCCAGTAGCTGATTCTTTTATTTCATTCCGTCTTCCGCAGTAAGATCTTACTACATCTTCTTGCGGCATTCCGAGGAAGAAGAGTACGTCTACGCTCGTGGCTTACCAGAGCATCAGTAGCTACTCGCGTAGTAAGACTGACTCATAAGACTCAGATTAGATCTTCGACAGAGGTCTTCACACCATAGTGGTAACCTTCACCACAGAAGCTCACCAGTTCTACCTTGTCGTTGTCGCTCGAACCCCGTAAATCTACGTGGTCCTCCGAACAGGTTCCCACAAAGGTGGACACTGTGGGAATCAACGACAGCCTGGTCGGCTTAGGCACAACAACGGAAGAGGAGCTTAGAACAGAAGCGAGTGGGGGACGATCTGAAGGATCGAAGCAACGGAAACCTTGTAGAGGCGCCCCTCCTTCTTCGTTAAGTCAACCAACTCCTTCCGATCGTTCTCGATCTTTGTCACCTTCTAAATCTAACAGATCTACTTCAACTACTGCCCTACCTAGAACTTCCACGTCAACGAAAGCGAAAGCTTTCTCCATTCCGGCAACTCCTCAGCCTCCCAAGAACGTAAAGAAGCCTATTTCAAACTATTTCGGAGCGCGCAACGATCAACTGGACGTAGCCGCTTCTTTTAGGAGGAGACAACCGTTAGAGGGCCGAGCGGCTTTCAAACATCATCGCTTTCTACCACATTCGGCGTCGACTACTACTACTCCCTCTTCCTCCAGTTTCCAACCTCAGTTTCCATCCCCGGAATCACATTACACCCAGAGCTCATACCGAGCTTTCGAATTTAAAACACCCGCTCCCATTTCGCCAACAACGGATATCAGCGCACAAGGGGAAATACTTCCTGCTTCTTCTATATCCCATCAGCTCAGTATCACCTCTCCACCAATCATAGAATCAGTCCTCACTGACAACGATACTATAGACATGAGCTCTACCATAGAAACTACGTCGTCACAAACTTTTCGCCCTGAGACAGGCAGAGGCTACGAGGGGTCCCCTATGGCGCGACTCATACGTCAGTTCAAGGAGTCGAGTGACGACGACATATCTACTTATCAGCGAGCAATAAACCTTTCCGCGAAGTCTTGTCTACTATCTAATGACGTAGTGGAACTTGAAGGGTCTCAAAGAAGCTTCGCATTACATCCCACTCTCCTAAGAGACGTCACTCAGTTAGTAGGAGAGTTACAAGTTTTCCTAGAGCGAACGTCCGCTTTAATCCCTGAAAGAAGCTCTTACTACAAAGTAGATCCTAGGGATACATTTTTATCTATCTTGAGAGAATCTTCAGATGCTCTACAGGTGCATGCGGCTTGGATGGGGTTGTCCGGGCGACTATGATTCGCACAAGAGAATCTATGGAAATACGAAGCACAGTATCGCAGTCCTTTGGCTGGCGAAAATGTCATCATGCCCACTTCTCCTCTTTCCACGGATCCAGGTATCTACGAAGCCATGGAAGACTTGGACGATTTGGATCTTCGATTAAGGTACTTATTCGATAACGTACCACATCATCAAGACCAAGTAAAATCTCCCCGTAAATTGAGAAATGGAGTGCCGTGGAATGAAGTGCTAGCACTCCCGGGCAATCTGCAAGAAAACACTTATAACAGACTGCCAACAATCGTCGAACACTCGCGCGACGATCAAGAGAGTAATTCGCAGGTGAAGAAAGGAAAGAGGAGGATAACCGACGAATTTGTCAGTCCACCAACTTCTCCTCGCGGTTTGAATGTCGGATATGGTACTCCATTCAAATCCAGTTCGCAGTTCTTCGTTAGACCGGGTGGAATACCTCTACCGCCACCAGAGACATCGGCACAACAAAATATATTAGTGGGCTTGGGCCTTCCACACACGCCAGCTTTCGAAAACATTCCAAGTTCGAAGGACGCACCTCAAGCTACGTGGGTGAATACTCAAGTACGATCTAGAGCTTCAAACCCTTTCGAAGGTCGACCTCTACCCCCTCATATGGTGGATGTCCAACAGACTAGGGATGGACTAGTTCGAACGACTTCCATTGCGACAAACCAACGTCAACGCCCCGTAGAATCGAGATCGGAGGGAGGCTCTTCGCGCCATCGATCACAGTCAAGAAATCATGAGAATAGGAATCAAGGAAATCCTCCCAATGGCGATCCAGACGGATCAGATGACGACGATGACGACGGGGACGAATACCCTCGCAGAAATAATCATGATAACAGAGAAGACAGACCATCTTCCTACCCCACTAATCACGGAGGAGGAGGAGGTAATCCCGGAGGGGGAGGCGGAGGTAACGGTCCAAGTAGTAATGGGCTTTATCCAAATACACAACCTCAAGGGAACGTACCCTATGGTAATTTGGTAGCTACAATCAGAAATGAACTAAAGCAAGATCAGTTGCCGGTTTGGGACGGTAATAAGGAGACGGCGATCGAGTATTTTTGGAAAATTCAGCAGCTAGCCGCTCTGGAAGGCGATATACCGGTCGCTCTCAGGTACTGGCTATGGAAGAGCTTGAAAGAGAACTCTCGAATTTGGATGTGGTTCACTACCCTACCATTTACGGAACAATCCAAGATGCGGACTCATTATTTGCATTACCTTAAGGGCATCAAGGATAACTATCTGGGGCGTACATGGCAAATCAGTATGAATAGAAAATACGAGAGTCAATCCTTCCGCCAAGAAGGATTCGAGAGAGAATCCCCCCCTGCCTTCATTGTCCGACGCATCATGCATACGCGCATGCTAGTCGCTTCCGACGATGGGGGGCCTACGGAGGTCTATCTGGTAATGCAGAAGGCTCCGATATCATGGGGGCCCATTTTGAATTTAGAGACAATCCGTTCGACTTCTTTGTTATATTCCAGAGCCACGGATCATGAGTTGGCATTAGTTCATGCATCTAAGTATGAATCGTCGAATGTGCTCACCGCAGACAATCTGATCCAGACTCTCCGTAAATTGGGCATTTCTACAGACCGAAATCGTCCTTATGATCGTTCAGCAAAATTGGTCTTGGGCAAGGATGACGTCATTCGTGAGGCTTTCCTAGGACAGTTGAGTAGGGAAGAATGCACGCAGGAGATTAATTCAGACCCCGAAGTGATGAAGGAAGCTTTCCAAATACTTAAGAAGAGACAGCGTCCTCCTCCGAAAGGAGGTTACCCATACAGCAAGAATGACCATGTCACCACCAAAATGGGACACTTACCTCCTTCCCCCTGTAAAGTATGCGGTAGCAATAACCATTGGGACAAGGAATGTCCTGATTGGTCATTTTATGAAGCGAAACAGACTAAAGCTGCCTATCGGATCGAGACAGACAAAGACGATGATCTGGAGAATTATTACTGCAGCGTTTATGCCGTCTTAGTCACGGAACGGCTAACCTTGGAGGATAAACAGGGTAACGAGTCTTCGGATTTTCATGAGGCAGTTCTAAAGGAGGGAAACGACCACCTCCCGAGAGAACGTAAGTCCGGCGACAATTCTTCCTGGAAGCCGCAAAAGGTCTTCATTGAGGAAGAAGAAGATGAATCCTGGTCAGAGTATCGAGCGAAGGAAAAGTCAACCACTCACCTCTTATACCAATTAGGAGACGACAACGACGACGACGAAATCCTACAGAAGGAAGCCTTTTCGTCTCACAAGAAGGCCCCTTCCTCCTCGAGACCTGAAGAAGACAAGGATCTACCAAAAGAGGTAAAGGATCCTCCAGGGGCCGCTCAGGACCCTCCAACGGAAACCAAGGATCCTCCGTTCCCTCCTCTGTTTAAAGATAAACCATTCAGAATTCCCAAGGCGAGATCCCGTCCAGAAGGAATGTCTGCCGTCGGAGTTTCGGTTTTGTCAACCAGAGGTTTTGTGGGAGGGCTAAATAATGTCGAAACGGACTTACGCTTGGACTCTTGCGCCGATATTACGTTGATATCCTATGAGTTT